GGAGATGCTCTTAACATTTTCGAAGAGGAAATACAAGAATGCGGAGATGGTGAGACAAACTGGCGAATGCATGAGTTGGCAATGGAGGGTGTGGCCAGGGCAGCCCTAAATTCTATAGGGTCCTAGGCGAAGTTTCAAGAAGGACCCTTACGCATATTTATCAAATAAAAATTTTAAATAATATAATAAATAATAATAATGCACAAGTTATTATTTGTGAGTATCAATACAAAAATTTATTTATATGGATTAATATAGGAAGAAATCATTACAAGAATTCAAAAGGGCAAAATTTAAGTTTACAATAAAGAAAAAATGTAAAGCTATAATACCAAATAAAAATTGAAAAAAGTGAAGCAGGCTCGAGATCACCTACTTGATTTGAAAATAGTTTTTGTTTTTTTTTTTTTTCTAATTGAGCAAACTTTTTTCTTTTTCTTTTTTTAATGTTGGCCTATAACATGTTTGTGTTTGGGCCCTTTTTTAGTGGACCTTTTTGATTTGGAGGGCCTCTAACAATAATTGGGTCTTTTTAAAAACTTAATGATATAAAAGATTTTCAAAATTTGGGACTCTTTTTGGGAAAAAATTTGGGAGTCCTAGGTGCAGGCTTCACTAGCCTTAGCCCAAGGTCAGCCCTGTGTGTGGCAATGGTTAATTTGTAAGATTTTGTGTTTTTAATTTATTTAAATATTCTGATTGTGTTTTCAATTAAAAAAGAGTTTAAATATTTTGTTGTGTTTTCAATTTGAAAATCTTTTTACCAAATGGCAAGTGTTGACATTTGGTATTTTTATGTGCAAAAAATATAAAGCTTAATTTTGTAATTTTTTTTAAAAAAATCAAATTAAATAGTTTTTGAATAAAAAAAAGAAGTAATGACATAGTTTTGATAATGCATGGTTTTTTTATATGTATTTATTATTGGTATTTGACGATTTACTTGATAATCTTTTGATTATGTTGAGTTGGATTGTTTAAAAAAAATATATTAATAAATTGTTGTATTATGTTCAAAATTTGTAAAAATTTAAACCGCCAAACCGATTCGCATCCATCCGTTAATTTGGCAGACGAATGTGAATTGATTTTTCTAATCCATTAATCTAGCAGACGAGTGACAAATTGAAAATTATTCGACCGAACCGCGAGCACCCTAGTCATAGGTTGTTAGTGTGTTCCGCACAATTAGCATATGACTTTGGTGAAAAGTTAGTTGTGCAATGTACATAGCTAACCACAGCTAACCCATTGGAGCAAAGTACAAAAATGTAAGTTACTGAATTGTTGTCGTCTGACTCTACCAATGGTTTTAACAGACCTATACAAGAATGTGGAGATAGTGACACAAACTACAGAATGCATGAGGTAGCAATGGAGTGTGTGGGTGGCGGACAGAGGCAAGGTAGGATGGGGGTAATGTTGACAGTGGAGGTGTGATTTGGTAGTTGAAGAAAAAAAAAAAGAAAAAAACAAGGCAATATAATAAAATAAATCGTACTTTTCCAATTATTTTTTAACTTCATACTCTTACTATAATTATTTTTGCTTCTACACTTATGTACAATTATTTGCCTCAAATTTTGTTTTGTTGTTGTAATTTTTCAATATTTTTAGATAGAGAAATCAAAGCAAATCTAATTTTAAAAAAAATTAAATTTAAATAGAAACTATTTAAAGTAATTACATTGTTTTGAAACTACTTAAAGTTTTTCTGGCTATTTTCTTCTACTCTGTCCATTTCATAAAGTATTAGACCTTATTTAACAATAGCTACCCAATTTTTAAGAGATTTTTTCTCTGAATACATACGTATTTCTATGAGTATTATTGCAACTAATTTGTCTGAAAATATATTTACTCATATTTTTCCCAACAATGTCAGGGATACTAACACATTTATTAACAATTTTATTAACACGCTCATAAGTTTTGATAAGATCAATCAACACTTAATATTAGACTCATATCAACTTACGAGTGTATTAATAAGATTGTTAATAAATATGTTAAGATCCCTAACATTTTTTTATTTTCTCACCACAATAAATGAAATGTGTGACATGTGAGAATTCTTCCTTGCATCGAATAAATAATTTTTTTATAATTAATTTTAAATTTTAATTTCTCTCTTTCCAAACTAGGATTTGGAGATCATATTGTGATTAAAATCATAGCAAGGATATGTGGTGCATGGGGGATTTTATCTTTGATTTTTTTTTTAAAATTTTGAATTGTTCATATTGTAGATTTGTCGAGTATATCATTTATACAAAAAATTAAGTTAATCAGAAATCAACAATCCCATTATCATTCAAATTGTTTTACAAAATTATCAAGATTATATTAATCCTATATTTTTAAAAAATAAATGTATTCTTACTATAGACTTATGATTTTTAATCAATTTAATTTTTTATATAAATAATCTATTAAACAAATTCTATCAAAATTTGAAACATAAAAAGAAATTATAAAAAAAAAAACCACCAAAACAACACAGATATTGTGAGTCAGAGCATCGTCCTTGGCCCGAGTAGTAGTAAATAGTTGGGAGCAGCTTGTGTTCAGATTGGACGATATTGTTGGGTCTGTGGGAGTTCATCACAGGTCTTGTTTTGATAATTCAAAATGTTTGATATATAGAATTCGTCGAGTACTATATACTTGTAAAAGATCACGCTGATCGGATATCAATAGTTATGTGATCAAAACAGTTTTTTGTCAACTATTAATTTGTTTACCGTTTGTTTTTTATAAAAAATTAACGTGATTTTTTATAGGTATATACCGCGATAAATGAAATGTGTGACAGGTGAGAATTCTTCCTTGCATCGAATAAATAATTTTTTTATAATTAATTTTAAATTTTAATTTCTCTCTTTCCAAACTAGGATTTGGGGATCATATTGTGATTAAAATCATAGCAAGGATATGTGGTGCATGGGGGATTTTATCTTTGATTTTTTTTTTAAAATTTTGAATTGTTCATATTGTAGATTTGTCGAGTATATCATTTATACAAAAAATTAAGTTAATCAGAAATCAACAATCCCATTATCATTCAAATTGTTTTACAAAATTATCAAGATTATATTAATCCTACATTTTTAAAAAATAAATGTATTCTTATTATAGACTTATGATTTTTAATTAATTTAATTTTTTATATAAATAATCTATTAAACAAATTCTATCAAAATTTGAAACATAAAAAGAAATTATAAAAAAAAAAACCACCAAAACAACACAGATATTGTGAGTCAGAGCATCGTCCTTGGCCCGAGTAGTAGTAAATAGTTGGGAGCAGCTTGTGTTCAGATTGGACGATATTGTTGGGTCTGTGAGAGTTTATCACATGTCTTGTTTTGGTAATTCAAAATGTTTGATATATAGAATTCGTCGAGTACTATATACTTGTAAAAGATCACGCTGATCGGATATCAATAGTTATGTGATCAAAACAGTTTTTTGTCAACTATTAATTTGTTTACCGTTTGTTTTTTATAAAAAATTAACGTGATTTTTTATAGGTATATACCGCGATAAATGAAATGTGTGACAGGTGAGAATTCTTCCTTGCATCGAATAAATAATTTTTTTGTAATTAATTTTAAATTTTAATTTCTCTCTTTCCAAACTAGGATTTGAGGATAATGTTGTGATTAAAATCATAGCAAGGATGTGTGGTGCATGGGGGATTTTTTTTTGATTTTTTTTTAAATTTTGAATTGTTCATATTGTAGATTTGTTGAGTATATCATGTATGCAAAAAATTAAATTAATTAGAAATCAACAATCCCATAATCATTCAAATTGTTTTAAAAAATTATCAAGATTATATTAATCCTATATTTTTAAAGAATAAATATATTCTTATTATAGACTTATGATTTTTAATCAATTGAATTTTTTATATAAATAATCTATTGAACAAACTCTATCAAAATTTGAAACATAAAAGTTATAAAAAAAAATCCCACCAAAACAACACAGGTCACTATTGTGAGTCAGAGCATCGTCCTTTGCCCGAGTAGCGGTAAATACTTGGGAGCAGCTTGTGTCTAATTCGAGATCGGATTGGACAGTGTTGTTGGATTCATGGGAATTTATCATGCGTCTCGTTTTGATTATTTAAACCGTTTGATATATGGAATTCGTCGAGTACTATATACTTGTAAAAAATCACGTTGATCGGATAACAATAGTTATATGATCAAAACAGTTTTTTGTCAACCATTAATTTATTCACCGTTTTTTTTATACAAAACTGATTTGATCACATAGTTATCAATATCTAATTAATGTAATTTTTTATAGGTATGTAATACTCGATTAGTTTTACATATTATACAGTTTAGATTATCAAAATGGGATCCGTAATGACTCCCACGGGTCCAATAATACTATCCAATCTGATTTCAGACTGAACCCAAACTAAACCCAAACAGTTAGTTACTTCACGCGATCCACGTGCATTTTATTTATTTATTATTTCTTATAATAAATTATTATAGAAAAAGTATTAATTTTTTTCAATTATCACTTATTCCTATTCTTTCATTAATCATTATTTATTATATTTTTTTATGTTACTAAATTACTTAATATAAGATCATAATACCTTATATCTTTTATTAATTATAATATAAAAAAAAATGAAGAATTTTAAAAAATATGTAAATCTTATAATAATGTAATGTTGGTGTCTTAATTTTATTTTTTTTTCATTATCAAATTATTAGAATTTTATTTAAAACTCCTAAATTAGGGGATGAAATTATAATATCATGAAGAAAAATGCTTCGGACTCTCACTGGGGGTCGACTCCCAGTGAAGTGGCGCTTCGTGATTGGGTAAAAAAAAAACTATTTTATTTATTTATTTTTTTTTTAAGTTTCCGCCGACGACGGCTCATCACCTCACTTGGGTGCGACCACCATGGGTGGGGTCTGCAGCAGAGTTGTATCATGAAACACATGCTATGATAGTCCCGAATTACTCAATAATCACCCCATCGTCGCTAGTCAAGGGAGAGACTACTACACAAATACGACTACCTTTACCCGCTTTCCAAAAGGCACAAACATACTTATCCCTCCCCTAAACCCCCACTTTCCCACTTCCGCCGCCGCAAACCACCACACGCCACCATGCAAGCCACCTTAATCTCCCCACCGTCACACACCCTTCCCCACCCTACCACCGCCACCAGCACCACCAAAACCCTTTCCTTCTCCAAACGCCCCACCACAATCCGAGCCTCCTCCTCAACCGAAACAGTCCCACCACCACCGCAAACGGTCGACGTCGCCGACCCATCTCGGAAACTCAACAAATACAGCTCTCAAATCACCGAACCCAAGTCCCAGGGTGGTTCTCAGGCCATCCTCTACGGCGTTGGACTCTCGGATGAGGACATGGGTAAGCCCCAAATCGGCATTTCCTCTGTTTGGTACGAGGGAAACACTTGTAATATGCATTTGTTGAGTTTGGCTGAGGCTGTGAAGGAAGGGGTCAGAGAGGCTGGTATGGTTGGGTTCAGATTCAATACCATTGGGGTTAGTGATGCTATATCTATGGGGACTAGAGGGATGTGTTATAGCTTGCAGTCTAGGGATTTGATTGCTGATAGTATTGAGACTGTCATGGCCGCTCAGTGGTATGATGGGAATATCTCCATTCCTGGTTGTGACAAGAATGTAAGCTCTATCAATGTTTCTTTCATCACTTTTTTCTTCTGTTTTTTGAGGTTTTCAGTAATGGGTATGTGTGGTTTGTGGCAGAATTAAAACTTTTGTTTTTTGTTAAATTTTTTTTTATTTTTTATTTTTCTCTTGTGGGTATGCCTTGTATTTAAGTTTTTGAGTGTTCTTGTGATCTTGTTTTGCCTTTTTAGCTTTTATTTGTGTTTCTGACCAAAAAAAATTGAGTTATTTCCCCTATGATCTTTCTTTGCTGGGTGTTTGTGTAGCTTTTAGTGTTGTATTTTTGCTCTCCTGGGGATTCCTGATTTTGCTCAATAACATTGAATTTAATTGCTTGACTAGGATTCTACCATGTTGATTTAGTATACAATGTTGCACGTGATAAATGTGCCGAAACTTGCTCTAGCTTATTGATGTTGAAATAGCTATATCCTTGGAATTGATAATTTACTAGAAAGCTTAAGGATTATGTGTGTACAGGTAAGCCTTAATTTTGATTTTAAGCAGGCTTTTTAATTGGTGCATTCAATAAGGAAGGCTATCTGTCAGCATATCTGGTTTATTAAAATATGCGCCTGAATGTTTTCTAGCTACAATATGATTATTAAGTAAAAATGAGAAGGGAAAAAAGTGATTAGCAACTTTCTACATCAAAATGTCCTAGGCTTTGGCACTTAATTTCCTTGGTGAAAGCTTACCACTCTGTTTAGCCTTTTCTGGGAATTTATATGTTGCCTTTAGTAGTCTTTGACTCTCTGCAATGTTAGAACATTTATTTTTACATTGTTTTTAGTGTTCAAGGCATCCTTTTGTTCTTTCCCCTTATTTCTTAGGTTGCAGAACTATGTTTAAGCTTGTAGCAGTAGAGGAGTAGCCAAGGTTTTAAAAAGCGGCCGCAACCGTTACGTAACAGTTTTGGCGGCTACCGCCACCCGTTATGGCCACTTTTGCAGCGTGATTGAGATTCACAGGTGTGTAGGCTGTAGTGGCTACCATAGCAGTCGTAACGGTGCCGTAATAGCCGTAACGGCCTATTACGCACCGTTACGTAACGGTTCCAAATTGTTTCTTTCGAAAAAACACAAAAAAAAAAGCTGAAAGTGGGGGAAGAAGGATAGAGAGGAGGGAAGATAAAGAGAGAAAATGGAGGAGCAAGAGATAGAGAGAGAGAAGAGGGTAGATGAAGAACATGTTATTGATTTTTTGAAACTATAAGACCTATGCTATTCTATTCAGCTGCTATCACTAAACCATTTTGTTTGTGTGTGTCTATTTATATATTGTTTGAAAATAATAATAATAATAAGTGTGGTCATTATCTATTTGGCTTGGTTAAAATATGTATATATATATATATATATAATAGTTAGTGATTGATTTTTTATAAAATATAAAGTCATTAATTATTAAAATAAAATGTAAAAAACTCAGTTTATTGTGATTTAAAAATATGAAATATATTGGATCATACTTAAAAATTTACAAAAATTGATCAATATTTATTTTTAACCCAATAAATATGATCATGGAAAAAAAAATGCGTATCGGTAAATTTTTTTCAAATTGTGCGAAAAATAAAAAAATTCACAGTTCCGGTTACCGCAACCGTTACACTACGGCCTTTACACCCCGCAACAACAACCGCGTCACCGCCACCGTTACGGCGACCGCAACCGCTTTTCAGAACCTTGGGAGTAGCCTTGCCTGTAGCATTCCATTTTTTTTTTTCTTTCTCATTCATTGTTTTTTACTCACTGGATCATGTACAAGTCATAGTCAATTTGCGTTAAGAAAGAAAAATAAAAATGGTAAATATGTTAACTATGAAATTAATGTATTAAGAATGCTTCTTAATAGGATATTGAGAATGCTTCTTAATGGGACTATTTCGTAGTTTTTCTGCCATTGGCTTGTGATATCTATTGATAAGTGCGTTTTTGCTTTCTATACACTTTTATCTTTAGAAATATTGCCACTAGCAATATTACCCAACCTCTCTCTCTCTCTCTCTCTCTCTCTCTCTTTTTCAGTAAATAATAATTTTTATAAAACCTAAGAATATTTACAAACTACTAGGGACATATCCCCATGCAATACAAGAAAAGCTAAGGCTGTGTTTGGAAGGGTTTTGGAATTACAGTTCTACCCCTACATTCTAGTATGATGTTTGGTTTGAGTTTTGGAAAATTAATTCCACTCCTCCTTTTGAAAACTCGTTCTAGGCAGGCTTTTAAATTTTGAAATTTGGCCTACCGGTCGTCCCCCCGGACGTCCAACCGATCCGGTTGACTTGAGCAGTGCATTTTATTTATTTATTTATTTTTGCAATTGGCACTTTTTTTTTTAATATTTTTAATAAAACAATATTTTTGGAATTTTTAAATTTTTTTTATGAACTTTTAATAGATTTTTGAGTTGTATGTTTGGTTATGAGTTGTAGGTTTTTGTATTAAATATCATATGTCACATCAAAAATTCCCCACTCAATTGAAAACTTTTTTCAAAACTCATTCACTAAACAAATTTTCTACACTCAAATCATAATTCCAAAACTCACAAACTCAAAATGCAACTCTAATCTCAAATGATATTTAGAAAACTCTACCAAACGCTAACTAAATAACTTCTATAAAATCTCTCCCTCCCTCTCTCTTCATCTTGTTTGCCTATGAACCTTAGGAATGATAATCTTTAACAATATGAAGCTTTTGCCTCCTAATTTTATTTATTTATTTATTTTTTGAATTTCTTGTCACTTATGTGCGACTTTTAGATTGGTCTAGTTAATTAAAGCTCTAAACCTGCCTATTCGCACCGTTTTAGTTGACAAGTTCTGAAATTTCTCTCTTGGTTTTTGTCTGGGGTGTCAACATTTATTTTCTCCTATTTGTCTCTATTTTCT